CCAATCTCTCTATAAGCTCGCCAGCATTTGTTATTTTCTGTCCTGTTGAACTGTGCTATTAGTGTTGGAGCAAGATGGTATCTTATTGTTGTTTTGATTTGCATCTCTCTAATAGCTAATGATCGTGTAGAGCTCCGTTTTTAAAAGACAGATAAGGAAGAAAAGACCAAAATGGATGTCAGAAGAGGCTCTGAAATTTGCCCTTGAACGGGATGTAGCTTAAGCCAATGGAAGAAATGATGAAATAAAAGAGCTGAATTGAAGATTTCAAAGGGTGGCTTGAGAAGACAAAGTAAAGTATTATAATGAACTATGCAAAGACCTGGAGTTAGAAAACCAAAAGGGAAGAACATGCTCAGCATTTCCCAAGCTGAAAGAACTGAAGAAAAATTCAGGCCTGAAGTTGCAACATTGAAGGATTCTATTTTCAAAATATTACATGATGCAGGAAACATTAAAAGAAGATGGAAGAAATACACAGAGTCACTGTACCAAAAGAATTGGTCAATGTTCATCTATTTCAGGAGGTGGCATATGATTGAGAACCAATGGTGTCGAAGGAAGAAGTCGAAGCTGCTCTGAAAGAATTGGCAAAAAACAGGGCTCTAGACATTGATGGAATAGCCATTGAGATGTTTCAGCTAATGGATGCCATGCTGGAGGTATTACTTGTCTATGCCACATAATCTCGAAGACACCTACCTGGCCAGCTGACAGGAAGAGATCCATATCTGTGCCCATTCCAAATGGAGATGATGCAACAGAATGCGGAAATTACAAAACAATGTCATTAATATTACCCACAAGTAAAATTTTGCTAAAGATAATTCAAAAACAGTTGCAGTAATATATTGACAGGGAACTGTCAGAAATGCAAGCTGGATTCAGAAGAGGACGTGGAATAGGGGATATCATTGCACATGTCAGATGGATCTTGGCTGAAAACAAAGAATACCAGAAAGATAGATGTTTATCTGTGTTTTATTGGTTATGCAAAGACATTTAACTGTGTGGATCATAGTAAAATATGGATAACACTGAGAAGAATGGGAATTCCAAAATACTTCATTGTTCTCATGAGAAATCTATACACAGACCAAGAGGCTGTCATTCAAACAGAACAAGGGGATACTACAGGGTTTGAAATCAGGAAGGGTGTATGTCAAGGTTACATCTTTTCACCATACTTATTCAATCTGTATTCTGAGCAAAGAATCTGAGAAGCTGGACTATATGAAGAATAATGCAGCATTAGGATTGGAGGAAGACTCATTAACAACCTGTGATATGTAGATGACATTGCTTGCAGAAAGTGAAAAAGACTTGAAGCACTTATTGATTAAGATCAAAGACTATATAGTCTTTAGTATGGATTACACCTCAACATAATGGAAACAAAAATCCTTGCAAATGGGGCAATAAGCAACATCAAGATAAATGGAGAAAAGATTGAAGTTGTCAGGGATTTCATTTTATTTGGATCCACAGTCAACATCCATGGAAGCAGCAGTCAAGAAATCAGATGTCGTATTGCACTGGGCAAATTTGCTGCAAAAGACCTCTTTAAAGTGTTAAGGAGCAAAATATGTCACTTTGAAGACTAAGGTATGCCTAACCCAAGCCATGGTATTTTCAATAGCCTCATATGCATGTAAACCTAGATAATGAATAAGGAAGACCAAAGAAGGGTTGATGCCTTTGAATTGCAGTGTTGGCGAAGAATTATTAAAACACTGTGGGCTGCCAGAAAAATGAACAAATCTATCTTGGAAGAAGTGCAGCTGGAATGGCCAGACTTCATCTCACCTAGTTTGATCACATTATCAGAAGGGACCATTCCCTGGAGGGGGCTATCATTCTTGTTAAAGTAGACGGTCAGTGAAAAGGTGGAAGACCCTCAACTAGTTAGAGTGACACAGTAGCTACAATGATGGACTCAAGTATAATAAGAATTGTGAGGATGGGATAGGACTGAACAGTGTTTCATTCTGTTGTACACAGGGTCGCTATGAGTCAGAGCTGACTCAATGGCACCTAACAACAACAATATACGTATGTGTATATATACATACATATATACGTGTGTATATATTTACATGTGTGTACATATTTATACACATACATGTGTGCATATATTCATATACATATGTGTATATAGATACATGTATCATGTATTTATATACACATATATTCGTGTATATGTGTGTGTAAATGCACATGTGTATATAAATATATGCAGATATATGTATGTGTGTGTGTGTGTATACATATATATGCATAGAGAGAGAGAGACATGCCAGGATGCCAGAGTGTCGGCAGTCATTGTCTTTGGGTGATAAAGTTATGGGTAGTTATAAATTTCTTTCTAAATTTTTCTGTATTTTTCTCTAAAAAGGTTGTGTTACTTTTATAATAAGAAAAATAAATTAAGGAAAAAAAAAATACTTGCTCTCCCTTAATTTTTTGAGGTCCAGACTTCAAATGAAACATGATTCCATGAGATTTCTGATCTCCTATCTAACTCATTTCTCTGTTTTTTTGTGTATAGGAACAAAAGTACACTGTGCAAATAAGTGAACTAGAGGTACAGTTCCATCAAAAAGCCAAGGAAATTGGCATGATTCAGACAGAACTGAAAACAGTAAGACAATTCCAGAAGAGAAAAATCCAAGTGGAGAAAGAATTAGATGATGTAAGTTTCTTTCTTCTTCTTCTTTTTCTTTAACTACTCAGGTCTGTAAAAATTTCCACAATTATTTACTTCTGTGAGGCAGCAAAGAGCTCCCTTTGACATTTTAGAGATTATTTGAGAGAAAAAAGGAAGACATATCAGTGTAGGACTAGATACAAAAGATCTGGACTATTAGACTTTTCTTTCTCTAAGCAGTTTTCTTAGTGCATTCACCAAATCTCAGCCAACATACCTTCCCACATTTATCAACAGCTGTCAGACCTTTGGATTGGCTTCAGTAAGAAACAAACTACAATTCTTGGAAAACATCAGTGTAAAGTAGCAAAGTCCCAAAGGAAAATATGTTCAGACGGATAGATGGTAGTTTTAGAATTTTGTAAAGAGCTCTGTAGGTAGGGATGGGTAGGGTGAGGAGCACTGAGTACTTTCAGAAAGTTACTATGACTGTGCTATGCTCTTTCCCTTACTTTTCATTCCCCCAGCTCAGAATATAGTTTTATTGCATTAGTGATAAAGCAGTCAATGGAACAGTGCCAGGTACAAGTAGCTGAAATTAACTATGTAATTTTCAGTAAATTACTCAATCTCTCAATACCTTGATTTCTTCTTCTGTAAAATGAGGATAATAACAGTCTCTGCCTCATAGGATTATTATAGGTATTAAATGAGTTAATGTATGTAAATTATTTTAAATAGTTCATGTGAGAATTACATTAACAGTGATGTCCAGCTCTCTGGGGAAAAAAAAAGTCCTTTTTGTTGTCATTTGCTATTTTGTGGTGTAGATATTTCATTGTGGCCAGTTGTCAAGGTACCAATGCTTTAACATCCTGCTAGCAAATTTCCTGGTATCAGCTGGCCCAGCACACCACTGAATTTACATGAATACTGATGCATTTATTAGTTGCAGTAATGGTAGAAGGAATATTGGCACTTAATATCACATATAGAGTGTAGTGTGTGGGTTAAAAATTGGTGCTCTGAATCAGACTGGTAGAATATAAATACTGTATCTGGACTACCTTGTTAAGTTTCCTTATCCGTAACCTGAAGATAAGAATAATAATTCCATCTTCAAAGGGTCATTGTGAACAAAAAATCGAATTATCTGTGTAAAATGCTTAATGCTGTGTCATAAATATTACCTGCTGTTGCTGATTCTGCTATTACTACTACTAAAATTATCATTATTACAATTAGTATTATTTTAAAAAGTATCCCTTTTAATATCTCTCACTTGCAATCCTGGTGTGTCCTCTCCAAGCATGCAGTGTCCCTCAAGTTCTCCTCTGCCTAACCAGGACTCTGCTTAGCAAGAACAAGCTTTCATGAGAAACCAAAGTCCCTGCATCCTGTTTCTCTTTACCCTTTAAACTGACACACTGAAAGGTATATGAGAATTGAATAAAGTAGACAAAAAAAATGTAGTGGTTAGAGTTGTAGACTTCATGCCCTAGCTCTGCCATTGATAGCTGTGTGGCCATGGATAGTGTGGTAGTTAAATTGTGTCAACTTGGCTGGGCCCAGTTTTGAGTTGCTAGGGAACTAGATATGGTTATTCTCCATGATGCGATTGGTAATCAGCTCCATGGTGGAATCTATTGGAGCAACTGAGTAACTGCTTTAGGGATGTGGTCTTCTTCCAATATACAAGAAGCTGCTTTGAGAAAGGTCTCTGCAGCTTTTTGGCATGCTTGAACCCTACATGCGGCTAACTCTTCATTCAGCAGCCTGCCATGCCCTGCCAATCTTGGAATTTTTTCTGAACTTGAACTAGCGGCCTGCTGTGTTGTTTGATAATCTTGGGACTGTGCCTTTTTACTTGTTAACCTTGGGTTTGGCAGTCTCAGCAGCTAGCAGCTGCCTGAGTCAAGAAAAGCCTCCAGCTTCAGTGGGGCAGGAGCAAGAGGCAGAGCTGAAGCCCAAGGTCAAGGGGCTTTCACCCAGCCCCTAGAGCTTGGCACTTTGTACTTAGACTTCTATCCTCCAAAACTGTAAGAGAATAAACTCCTGTTTGTTAAAACCACCCCATTTGTGGTATCTTCTGTTAGCTCAGCACTAGGTAGCCAAAACAGGTAGTCTGTAAACTCCTCTGAGTCTTAGAGTCCTAATTTGTAAAATACAGCTAAGAATGTCACCTGTCCCCTCTAAGAGGTATTGTTAAATAACACGTTGTTGTTGTTGTTGTTATGTGCCGTCAAGTCAGCCCTGACTCATAGCGACCCCTCCTTGGGTTTCCAAGGCAGTACCACTACGGAAGGAGGATTGCCCAACCTTCCTTCCGAGGAGTGGCTGGTGGGTTTGAACCTCCAGCCTTCTGGTTAGCAGTCAAGTGCCTTAGCCACTATGCTACCAGAGCTCCTTAAATAACATAGCACATGTAAAATATTTAGCACATTGTCTCTTACTAATCCTTCATAAGAGTACTAGTACAGTAGTTGTCAATGTTTTTGTTATTGTTATGATTATAAAGCTTTAAATTTTTAATAAAAGACTCTTGAAAACTCAGATTTAAAGGGATGAATTGGCACATTTCAGGCAAAGTGAGTAGGAGGAAGACATTTTCTTATTGGGAGAATTATGTTTCAGCCTTTCCTAAAAGTTATCCCGAAACCTTCCCAAGAGGCTGCCTTTGTTCATGAACTTGCTTATTTGTTATTTATAATTGTTGCTTTGAAATTGTTCTTGATTCTGTAGTACTATATTTTGGGGAACTCTCTCCTTTTGTGAGTTTCAAGCCCTGAAAATAGTAGTTACATAACTGTTTTCTCTACTTATTTTATATTTTGTTGTTTTCTTAATCTTTGTAAGCTAAGGAGAATAAGAAGAGCCAGATCTACTTGTGTATGTTTGTCACTCCTTAACATTCATAGACTAGTATTTGAAAAGATAATTTGTTAAATGAGTGGTATGCAACCATGCAATTTGTAGACTCTTAGAGCTGGATGAAATTTTAGGGCCTATTTATACTATTCTACAGATGAGGAAAGTGAGCCACAAAGGTGTTAAGTGAAGTAAAGAATAAGCTGTAGCACTGGTAGCAGACTCTTGGTGTCCTGAATCCCTGTCCAGTAATTCAAGCCTCACTCCCTCTATTTCTTCACCTGTTGCTGTACAATAAATTACCCCAAAACCTAGTGACTTAAAGCAATAGTAAACTTTTTTTCTTCTAAGAATTTTATGGTTTCAGTTCTTATACTTCGATCTGTGATCCATAAGCAACTATAAGAGGTTCATGTCAGAAGCTGAGACCTCCCTCTGATACCAGCATCAACTTGAACCTCTCCATAAACTGCTTGAGTATCTTCACTGCTTGGTGGATGACTTCATCCAGATTGAGTAATCCAAGAGAGCCAGACAAAAAGCGATCATTTTCCGTAGCCTCGCCTTGGAAGCACATTCTATTACTTCTATCCAGGACTTCAAACTGGATCAGTCCTGACTGGCAAAGTGAAACCAGGACAGACTCAAATTTTTAAAATTTGGGTCATAGAGTGCTGAGTGGAATGGGAAAAATTATGGTCTGAAGCCCTGAAATGGGAGACTCAGAAGAGAAGTGGTGAGGCCTTTCAAGAGCCTGGTGAATGACATTGCATTATTGCCAGGACTTTAGAGAGTGACACACTTTCAAAGTGGCATGGTTAGCTACCATCTTTGAGCTGGCCACTGTTGTTTTCCACTTAGCCTATTAAGAGATTTGGTTGCTATGCAATGTGCATACTAACCCTTGTTTTCTAAGAGGGAGATTAAGTTTCTATCAGGCCTTCTTTGACCATAATTTTTCCCATTCCAGTTAGTGATCCAGTTTAAAAGTTTTAAACATTAAAGCCACATTAAAAAAAAAATTGAGTCCATTCTTTCATTACTTCTCAGCCTTGACTGACCAGGCTGAACCTTTTTGAATCCCTGCTTCTGCCATATTCTATAGGTTAGAAATGAGTCCCTTAGTCTGGCCTACATTCAAGGGGTGGAGAATTATTTGAAGAAAGGGATGTCAGAGAATTTGTGGATATGTTTTAAAACCACTACACCAGCACAGTCCAAAGTACACATTGCTGCAGGAATAATCTTAAAATTGTTCTTCTGATGTTCTGAGTACTTCCTTAAGAATCTTCTGTAATTGTTCTCCACTGTAAATAGAATATTGTTCAGACACCTCAGCTTGAAAGTCAGGACCTTTCTCCTACCTTGGAACATTATTATCTTCTTTTACTACACTTTTTCCCTTCACTCAAGTTGGTTACTCACTCATTCCTGAAGTCTTTTCTGCCTCTCCTACTTTGTTCACACTGTTTTTTTTTTTTCTTGAATATCCTCCTTTTAGGTCTTTGTCTATTAAAATTTTATACATCCTTTAAAGACGTAGCTCAAATGCATGTTCTCCATGAAAAATTCCCCAGAGTCCTATTTAAAGATAATTTATTTTCTGTGTGTTTCCATAGCATTTTTGTATCTCTTTTATACCCCTTAGCTCATTCTATTTTGGCATTATATTTATTTATCATTTGTCTCATCTCCCCTACTAGACTGTAAGTTCTTTGAATCACAAACAGCATCATCCTTTGTATTCATTGAAACAAAAGATATATGTTGTTGTTGTTGTTATTTGCCATCGAGTTGGCTCCGACTCATAGCGACCCCTCCTTGGGTTTCTGAGGCAGTATCACTACGGAAGTAGGATTGCCCAACCTTCCTTCCGAGGAGTGGCTGGTGGGTTTGAACCACCAGCCTTCTGGTTAGCAGTCAAGTGCCTTAGGCACTATGCTACCAGAGCTCCTAAAAAAAGATAATAGTAATACTCAATAAATCTTTGTTAAATGCTAAGTGGGTCTTTTCATTAAATCTATAATTAAAGGCACCAGTGTTCTATATGAACTATAAAGTTTTATTTTATGTGAAGATCCTGCAGATTGAATCAGTATAGTTAACTTTTCAGGTACTGTCAAAATAGCCATTCTATTTGTAGGTGTACATTCTGCATCAAAGTGAATTAGAACTAT